AAAAGAACAAAAACACCCGCTGTCAGCGTTAATGCAGCATAGACATCGCGAATACATTTCCAACGCGCTCAACCCGTCTGGAGCGCCGACGGAACAAACTTTGGACAAACTGCCCGAAATGCGTTGACGGAGACATTTCAGGGATTTGGACTCCAGATGGGTTAAGTGTTGATCGTGTTAGTCGTGATGACGGCGCGTTAACGCTGACAGCACTAAAAAAATATATGAAGTCGCCAATTTGGGATTTCTTTGGCTTTAAACCAGATGAAAGAGGTAAACCTGAGGATGCAACCAACGCAAAGTACTCAAACACGACTAACTTGCACGAGCGTGCACGTGTCCACCGTCCGGCTGAGTATTCTAGGCCAGCGGTCCCCAACCTTTTTTGCGCCACGGAGCGGTTTATGCCCGACAATATTTTCACGGACCGGCCTTTAAGGTGTCGCGGATAAATACAACAAAATAAAACCAGTACCGGTACCGAAAAAAAGATTTATTCATAACATACGTGAAAAAGACCCAGGAAAACAGAGTAAACGATAAAAACGATAACAAAATAATGCTGAAAACCAATAAACCCTGAAAACCAGACATTTCACACCTGAGCCTCAACTCTCGCGGCCCAGTACCAAACGACTCACGTACCGGTCCGAGGCCCGGGGGTTGGGGACCGCTGTGCTAGGCTATCGCCAGCTTCTGAAAGAGGGTGCTGTTAAAACAGCGCTATTATTTGTTTTATTTTTTCTGTTGACTGCTTCTATTAGCTCATCATTATTAGCAAACTTACTCGTGGACAAATAAATAAATCGCCCAACCTTATTCCACAATATATTTTTAATGAATAATCATCATCTTGGCTCGAACCAGATTCGGTGATATCTGAAGCACAAAGGGCAAAGAGTTCTGACGGAGAGAGAATTTTGGCACTTCAGTGTGAAATCACACACACACACACACACACACACACACACACACACGTGTGCGCTCTCATTCCTGTGTAGACTAACAGGAGAGCGTGAAGCTTCTTGCTTCCAAATCCCTGCTGGAATGTGCAGCATGCAGGTCGGGTGCTTCAGGAGCGCCGTCCTGAGTGTCAGTCTGCCATCACCACTCCACTCTATCATGTTGAGAAACACAAGCAAAGTCTGAGCTTCAGTGGCCACTTCGACAATAAGTTTGTACCGAGGAACCCCCAGACCGCTGAACCCCTCGTCGTACAAATAGCCTCTCTGTCGTGTTGGTGGTCAGCAGGCAGACGTGGTGAAAGAATGCAGAGCAGATGGTGATATTTAACCTTTTATTGTAGAGGTGGGTGATGTGCTTTGGGAAGAATGTCGATCTGTGATCCAGGGCTGCTCAATCATGGTAAAAAATTACAACTGATACTTGGAAAATGTTGCACTTGTTGAATTTTGAGAAGGATTTGTTGTTCCTCACCAGACTTCCTGTTTTCAGCCTGTCTTATCATCTTGGCTCGAGCTGAACTAAAGCAGCTGCAGTGTGAAGGGGGGAGTCTGAGCTATCAGAGGAGGTGAAAGTGCAGACTTACAAAAATCTACAAAACAAACAGTTGAAAAGCTGCATGTTTTCAACTGTTTGAAGAATTGTAGCCAAAGTCATTGAACAGCGTAATATTTAAACTGGAGTACTGCATGCATCTTACATATCTGAAGCTGGAGAATGAAGCTTCTCTCAGATTGGAATAAATGCCAGATGTGGGACGCCTCAGCGTATTGAGCAACAAACCATTAAGCACATTTCTTCCAAACAAAACCTCAGCAGACTTTAATGCGACTCCAGCACTGTTTGCAGGACTGATCCCACAATCTTAAAATACTTCTCCTCAAAAATGTTGGCCTGATTTATTTTAGACCAGTGGGGAGTGAAAACACTCAGGATGTGATCATTTTATATTCTGCACAAAGCTGACATCGGGCAGTGTGAAGTGTTACTCCTGAAACTCCGATCCTGGTCCAGCCCCGGGTTGTCTCTCGGAGCAGACCATTATGGGTCTGACTGGTCTTCAGTGGCACCGGTCGGCACGGGGACGCCGCGGTGGCCATCAGGCCAGTGAGGCCACTCCCTGCAGCTCCTGTAAACCCACAGAAGTGGTTTTGTTTCAGTAGCAGTAATGGACCCAGCTGCCCTTTTAAACCTCCCCCATGGTAGCTTTCAGTCACTTTCCTGTTTGTGTAAGAGCTTCGAGTTGATAATGATGTGAGCCGGAGGGGGCGGGACGCTGCGTCTTTGTAACTGTTGTTTGTTTGTCTCTCTGGAGCTGCCTGCTCCAGACCCGTACTGTCTTTACACAACAGCACCGATGTGCCAAGTGTGGTCGTGTCTCTCTGAGCATTAATCACTTCATTGTTGTCATCTGCATGCGCCTCCACAGTGAAGCAGCACAGTGCAGTGATTCAGGTTCCTCTCACTCATAAGTTGCATCAGTTAATGCGTTTGCAGTCAGGAAGCTTCCCTCGTATCTTTAAAAGACACAAATCCAGTCCTAAATCTTAATGAGCAGAATCCTGTTTAATGTGCAGAGTTTCATATGAATTTATCTCATTTCCAAGTTATGATGGCAGCTTCATCTGTCACCCTTTTGTTTCCTTTAAAAGTTTGCTGTGACTGCAGCTCCAGAAGCAAAGGCAGTCGCATACATTTGTTACTCTTTTGCACCAAGAAGTGAGAAACCAGCCACACTAGATCAGCCAAATTATTACGTACACTTCAATGAGTCTCCTGCTGAAAATGGTGTTTCAGTAGTTTTATGAAATGTACACGGGTCCGGACCAAGGAGGCGACTGAAGGTTCTCAGTCATCCAGGTCATCGTAGTCGAAGGAGCTTGGAAAGAAAAGCGTCTGGACTTCAAGTTTCCCTGAAGACGTTTCATCCGAGAAGCTTCTTCAGTTCTAAGGTCAAATGGTGGAGAGTCCCAGATTTAGGCCCTATGGGAGCGTCCCTGTGAGGGTCATGGACCCCCTATTGATCCTCTACGTAATCGCACGAGCCGAGGTGTGAATACGGGTGTGGGTCACAATCAGCCAGGGTTTCAGGTGAAACCTTGTGAAATTGATCATTGTGAAACCCAACCCCACCCTATCGTCTGATTTACTGGGGTCAGATGGCCCAGGATGTGAGTGGGCGTTAAGGGAAAGGATCTCAAAACTGGATTATAGATGGCAGACAGTTGGTGTCGTAAGCCCCACCCTCTGTTCAAAGATGGTCATTCACAGTAGACCTAGATGGCTTCTTTCACTCCTCTTTCAAAGGAGGAGGTCCAAGGAGGTGGCTGTGCCGAGCCTTCCTGAGCCTCGTTCCGTTTGATGGCACTTCCTGTTAAAAGGGAGTTCTTCCTTTCAGCTCTTCCCGTGTTCTGCTCAGAGGATCGTTTGATTGTTGGGATTTTCTCTCATAGATTACAAAGTTTCCTAAACTTGAATTAAAAATAAAATGTAACCATGACGTTAAACTGTGACATTCATTCATAAGTTTACACCAAAACCGATGGTCCCACCAGCTAATTAGGAAACGCTGATATGTTTAACTCACTAAACCAAAGATATGTGCAGTAAACACATCTGTGCCTCAGTGAAAACATGTTACTGAATATATCTGGAGAAGTATTTAACAAAAACACAAACCCGTTAACTCCGACCGTCTCGTAGCCGTACAAACTGAAACTGGATCATCA